GTTTTCACTTGCGCCCTGACTGCTGCGGAGTATGGCTTTCCGGCGCACGAATACTTTCTCTTATGTTCGTAAGGTTGAGAAAGTAAAAATGGACTAAAGACAACACTACACTTCACCTAAAGAAATGAGCAGCAATACGTTTTCATCTCAATAGCAGACTCTCCCCCTCCAATCATTAACATTCTCAACTCCATTAAACTAGATTGATAATACAACATACCTCGGATTTACTCTAGACAGAACATATAGACAAAATACTCCAGAAAGCTCAAAGGTAGCTCAGCGCTCTGTACCTTATAAACACTCATCCTTCGACCAAAACCAAAACGAAAATTTACATTTACGAAACAATTTTTTTTTTAAATATATATGAAGATAAGGGTATCGCCATGCAAATACATTACATACCATGCATTACACGATAAACTTTGAAAATAGATTTTACAAAGAGCATTTAGATCCTCTCCCATAATCAATTCAAATATACTATGACACTCAATCATCCCCATCCAAAAAGACAGACATCCTGTTAGACAGAATATACAAAACTTCAAAACCCTCATTTCGTTCAATTCACGCAACCACATCCCGACAAATCCCCCAAGAAACACTTCCTCCATACAGACATCCTTCAACCTCCTTCGCTAAAACTCAAAATTAATGCTCATCTACTAACAAATACAAGCCACTAACCAACCCCTGTTCACCTGATCCACTCCTCTCAGTGCCGTTTGATGCAGGGTTCGTAAGGACAGGAAAGAAGTCGTGCAAATATTAATACATTAAATGAAAATACAACAAATTAGATTATTTGCAGGTTTAAACGAAATTCGTTTCAAAAGAACTCAGCTAGTTGTTCGCTTAAGACTAGATCAATGCTATATCCGTTTTCATCGAAAAGTGTTATTATAGCAAACATTCAAGATGACCCCGTGTTGTTGTTTCTTGTGCTCTGAATTCCACGATCCAATTTTTTAATATCACTGAAACCAGTATACGACCAAACATCCCTCAAATTTGAAAATATAACGCATGGAAAACAGAAGAATTTGTTTTTGTTCGCAACCCGTTTACCCGAGGACTTTATCATACCACGTTATGGAAAACATCAGCTTCCCTCCCTCGCTGATGCCGCATAAAATCCACGGTCATGGTAGTGGTACATCCTTTCTGTGCCACAGCAATGTGTTCTTGTAAAATGTATTTTCTAAATTGCCCGAAATATTTTTAAAATTTCATTCTAATTCATTTTTACACGAATAAAACACCAACATTTTTAGGAAAGAAGCTAGAAACAATACAAGGGTGCGTGAGAAGACTAGACTTTCTCTAGACTAACCCTCTTCCCTGACTGAATACTAAAATGCTGTTTAGTTATCGCACTTTTCGTCGCCATGGGATTTCAAAAGGGAGAGAGGCGATCGGTTTGATTTGCCCAGATTTCCGCCATCCCCCCCATTACCCCGGTATTCCGGGGTGATCCCCCAAAAACCCGATCCCTCCCCCCCCCCGATTACCGGGATTTCCGCCAACCCCAATTATCTCAGTTTTTCGGGGTGATCCCCCAAATCTGAATACCCCGGTTTCCGCCAACCAAAGGTGCTGCCATGTGGGGTATTATATGCGTTTCCTAACTCTTATTTAAAAATAGTGGCACTTCCAAGTGACGAGCTGGTAGGAGAGGGGGACATTGTCATGGAATCGAAAGCTCCAATACCAAACATTTAAGTCGTAACGATGCTCCCGATCAAGCACTCACGATAACACGTGAAACACGCTCCAGCAACGTCGATCGCAGCGGAACGAGTCTCGACAAACAGCGGAGCTATAAAACGAGCCAGCAGGCGCCCCGACGGACAGGCTAGTCTTGAACTGTTCGTGGGTCTCTGTGTGCTTAAAGAGTTTGTACTGTTAGCCGACTGAAGATACACCGAATGTTTTGTGCGTTTTGATACTGGTGGCGTCCGGAACGGAATTCTGGTGGAAGCTAGTTATACTGTGATTTATGCAACCCTGCCCCTGGCAGGAATCAGCTGTTGACGGTTTCATCCAATTGGGAGCTTAATCGGGAACATAATCACTATGGTGACGTTCAAGCTCCAGATAGGATGAAACTGTCAACAGCTGATACCCGCCAGAGGCAGAGATGCGAAAATCGCAGTATAGTGAGGCGGCGTCGAAACCAGAACATTGTTACGAATATCAGCATTCAAAATTAAAACATCGATATTAATAAAATAACTGTCAAAAACCACCGCTGTTTTAAAACATCGAGTCGATGAAAGTGGTTTAGTAATGTTTCAAATAAAACAGTGGGCGACAAAATTTAATTTTACAGTGACCGTGTTTATTAATTTATAATGAAGATTAAACTGAAAACAAACGAAAAAATAATGACAAATAAAAATACTCAACCTGAAAGCCCGAGCGTTCACAGTAATCGCAAGAGGTTTCAGCTCCCTGAGATCGCCGAAGAAGGTTCGGGAAGAAAAGGGGAGGCTATCTGCCCAGGCATACGCCGCCTCTCTATGTGCGAAATACAAGGAAAGACGAAAGACGAGGTTATCGGGGTCATTCAGAGCGAGAGATAGCATGCTCGATGAAGATAGTGCCGTTAGAGCACTCTGTGGAATAGAACGTAAAGTACCGCGCCTGTTTGACTTTGGCTCCGATTCATCCACAAGAGACGCATGTAAACCAACACAGATGCAGAAACGGTGCCAATCTACAGGTGGTTCAGCGATTTATAAAGAGGCCGGCAGATAGCACTGCCGCATTTGAAGAGTTTTGATACAGAATCGAAGGACTAAACGCTCGTTAAAATGAATTACTACTAAGGAAAATATTTTGAATAAACGATATTTTATACACATATTTATGGTGAACATTTTATTTTCCTTCGTGTTCGTGGTGCCATGGCACACTGGCACTACCCTACATGCTGACACTGCTCGTGACCAAGCTACGTTTAGGGACTTCACCTGGATAGCTGCTACTGGAACTGGGCTCTATTTCTCTTCCGGCACTCGGACAATTCTTGGCTCAATTTTGAAACATTTGGAAATATTGTAACAAAGTTCGCAATAAAGTGCTGTTATTGTTACGTCTGTGTGTTTATTTCAAACATTTCATGTAATTACATTCAAAAGAAGAAATGTGTGACGAGGGCAGTCCTCCCCCTCCCCTGAGATCTAAATAATCAAATCCTGACCTTATCTTCTCGCTCAACCCTTTTCCTCCCTCATCTGCACACAACAGTTTGTCTGCTGGAAAGAGATGCACCTTTCCCCACCCCCTCCAGCTTCCCTTTTGAAACAACACTAGTCGCACTCACTCTTAAACAAGAACATTTTATGCATTCTCGAATAAACCACACAACTTAATACAATCACGTACCAAATGGCTGGCGGAAAAACACATTTGCTCAATTGTTTTAGTATCTGTCAAAATTAACATATTTTGGACTGGACAAAGCACATAAATATATAATTCCCTACCACCCAGATAACCCGTTTTAAGACCTAAATCAATTAACGTGCAAACCGTGTAGGAATCATATGGTGTGGTATCATGGATTCTATAAAAAGCTTCATTATTAAACATTATTACATTTTTAATTTATTCAAGCTTGGCCTTAGGCCCTTTCCAGCCCCCTAAGGCAATTAAAATCGATATAGATTTATAAAAATATATGTGAGTAAACAAAATTCTAGTTCTAATAATATATATATATATATATATATATATATATATATATATATATATATATATATATATATATATATATTGGTATGTTTGAGATCGATTACGACCGTTGAGATATCTCCATGCAAGCTGGCACATCTATGTGTTGTTTTTGTTTGTTTGTTTTTTGTGGAGGTTTTTATGCTTTTCATTTTGTCACTCTACTAGATGGCGCTGCAGCACCAGATAGCGCCGGAGTTAAATGCAATTCCCAATACACCTGGGCTTCATTGTTGCTCGGCGCTGCCGTGAGTGGCGGGGCGAGACCGTGGTTAGGAAGAGCGGGGGGCGCGGAAACGGGAAAGACGAGAGGGGGAAACAAGAAATAGAGAAGGCATGAGAGAAAGGGGAGGAGTGGGAATAAGAAAGGGAAAAGAGAAAGAGGGGGAAAGAAAGGGTGTGTGTGAAAGAGAAAGATGGAAAAGAGCTCGCGCGCGATTCGTGGCCTGTTTGTTAGGGTTCTGCTCCGGCATTCGCCTGGTATTAATCAGAGAAACCACGGAAAACCGCGAGCAGCCTGCAGCAAGAATTCTCTAGACAGCGACAAAACTCGATCCAGCTATCTGGCTAGTGTCGAAAATCCTGCAACCGAAGGGACTCGAATCGCAGGACCTCCCGCTCAGAGGAACTGCAGAGAGAGTTGAGGTACTTCTCTCGGTACGAATGTAGAAATAGACGTCTTTACCAATTGTTTTCTTTTCGTTTCTACTTAATAAACATTATTCCATTGTGAAATAATATGAAAGATTCAGACAATACGTACCAATCATAGATGAACTATGCAAATTAATCTATTTTCCTTACCACCCCTTAAGAAGTTGTTATTAATGCTGCTCTGTTTACAAAGTCATAATGTGCTCATAACTGAACTACTATTTTATCTTACTACTACTCATCACAACAAACATTCCATTCTTTACTTCTCCCAGGATCCAGACTAGAAACAAATGCACATTTTTTTTGTCATGACCAATGGTTTCCCTATGTTTTTCAGGTTTTCCCCTTGTTTATCTCGAAAACAGTAAACCTGGATAAAAGCCATAATGGAATTGCTTTGCATTAGAACCACTCAGGTACCACTTGTGGTACAAAAGAGATTCTCATTGATATACTCCATTTCATATATTCCTTTTGATGGTTCTGAGACATGTTCAAACCAAATAAAACAATGAAGCAAACCAACAAACCACTCAGCCCAATATGTTAAATTTAATGAATCTTGACATTTTGACCAGGAACAGTATTAATAACCCTTAAGTATCTCAGTGGTAGTCCTATTTACTGACAACAACCTGTAATTACAATTGTTTGAAATCCAAGGTTTATCAAGTCAGTTAAATTAACAATCAGTGTCATAAAACTGATAAGCGGCACGGAACAGAATGACATGATCAGAATTAATTCATTTTATTTTATGAATGAAACACAAAACAGTATTCTAATATTGAACTTTATCAATTTAAGTATTTATTTATCAATAATCATTTAGCAGTTGGACACACATCCACAATTGATTAACACATTTTTTAGGTTCATCAATACATTAATTTTGTTTCACAATGCTTCTGTGACTTTTGCAATATTCATAACACATATGTTCACAAACACTTATTCTGAGTCTCTCTTACCCATGGCATTTTATGTTAAAACATTTATTATCATTATGATTCATAGAGAAAATATTCAGAGAAAATTCCCATTCCAGTGAAAATATAAATTTTTATTCAAATAGCTTCCCAGCATGAAATACTTTACAATGAAAACAAGCTCCTTTCTTCAAATATGCCCAGATTTTACATGTGTGTTTTAATTACATCCATGTTAACTAGGAATTCTAAGAGTTGTAGAGAACATTGCATAATTATAACAATAAAGAGGTTGTTGTATCATACTCAGGGTTATGGTGACAGGGCAAATTGCACCATACAACGTACATTTCAGTCTGCTCTTTACTCAGTTTCATTTTCTTTTTCAAAATCAACAGTAATAAAATTACAAAAAGATAGACTATGTCCATCTAGTGCCATAATTAATGATTTTGTTACAAAGTTCTAAAATACAAAATAGATATTAAATTATTATCTATTACCAACTCCTCTGAATAATTTGTGCTCAAAAATATCAAAATATGACATTTGGTAAAAGATACTCTATTAACACATTTCTTGGACAATTAGTCTGTAAAAGATAATAAAAAACTCAGAATGGCACAAAGCAAAGAAAGAGTTTCATTAAGTAAATACTGTAAATAAACATGTCATAAATTGACTAAAATCATAGCTTCAGAATCTGCTCAACAGTAAATTTACTTTGTTGTCCTACACAAAACAGCAGTTTTCACAGAAGAAAAGGCATGGTATGAAAAGCAATTTGTTATCAAATTTAATTCTAAATTTGAACATAACATTCTGTACAATAAAAATTAAAAATAACAAAGTTCTTGGACATTTGTTTGCCTTATTCACACCTTTTCCATTTTTAAGTTAACAGTCTGTTCTTTAATAAAATAGTACAAAATAGTATGACTCATAAAATACAAAAAGGTTCCATAAAATCATTGTGAATGCAGGTACATCTGCAAATCTCAGTTTCATTAAAACACTCAATATTAAAGCATATCTATGACTCAGTCATTAGATACCAAACAAACACAAACAGGCAAATAACAAACTTATGATGCATACCTAAATCTTCCAAATCTCTACTCTTGGCAATGTGAAAATACACACTCCTTCACATCTTCTCATCAAATCACACTTAATGAGGCATGCATATTTAAAATAGATAATAAATAATACTATAAGTACAACATTGTAGTGGCTGAATATGCAACACATTCAAAAACCCGGTATACTTTCAATTTGTCCAAAATATACCTAAACAATCATTTTCCATCTTATAGCCAAAATTACCCACAGAGACTAGACAATACTTTGTCTTTTATAGTGTATAATTCCATAGATAGATCATTCCAAACATAAAATCAAGAAAATAATTAACAATCTCCAGTAAAATTTTTCCTTTCTCCAGCAACCCAATTGCAATAACTTCTCTAATCAATCCCAATGCCAATGCCAATTATTAGTAAAGCACTCTCTCAAAAAACTAGCAACAAACGTGGCCACATACAATCACAACATGAACAAGTAACATAGCAGAACAACAGAAATAAAAAACAAATTGTTTTTATGTTTTTTTCAAAACCAATTCAAAGCAAATAAATATACATGAAGAAAGAGATTATTGTACAGAGAGGAACTTTGAAAATATCAATTTGTCATTGAGTTGCCCAATATCTCCCAATCATTAAACACCATACTTCAAAAATTATGAAGAGAAATAATCATATACACTGAAGCCACTCAATATACAATAATTATTCATAAAAAACAACAAAGTAATATATCAATTTTCCCAACTGAACTGAAATTTCTATGTTTTCACAATGTTACCACAATGTCTACCAAAATTCTTTAAACTATAGACCCCCTACAATTTTTTTTTTTTTTTTTTCTTCTTGAGTTTATTTCAAAAGAAGTGAAGATGGAATGTCTGAAAACAACAGAGCAATGGGTTTTTTCCCCAGAATTATAATAGCACCCTACATTTTCTGTAAATTGGGAACACATTTAATGGTCAACTGAGTCTTCTTGAAGACGTGCTCTGTAATTTTCCAATGTCTGACTGATAGTTAACTCTGAATATCGACAGCTGGAGGCACCACAAGTACAAGTGAATGATTTGCACTTGATAATCCAGAACTTTTCTCCATAATCAAAACTACAACAAACATTACAAATCAAACTTTAAAAAAACAAATTTGTATTATGTTCATTAAAGCTATAACATCAAAATACTTTCAGAAATAGCAAATTCTTCAGGTAAATAAAAATAAATAAAAGCCGTATTTTAAAATGACAACTATACGAGTCAGCAAAATGTACACCAAATATCACAAGAAAGAATCAGAATTTTTATAAAATAGGAGAATGAATATTCAATTAATTTAATCAATCTTTAATTGAGGGGATAAAACTTAAATGAAGTTGAAACTTCCATAATTAACCTTTATTTGCATTAAATCCGTAATTTATCACACATCTTACCCCAATTCTTCTTCAGCTGCTATATCTTGATTTGCAAAGAATGCAATGCGAGGAAAATGTAAATCTTGATGATCTATGAAAACCCTAACTGGCTGAAGATTTGGCACACACATGTGATTTATAAAGCGGGCCACATTGCCATAATGTCTTGCATCAATACAATAGGTCTCACCATCCTATAAAAACAATTAAAGTATATGATATTACTAAAACTAATTTTAAAAATCACAAAATATAAAGAAAGATCCTTCAGACACTAATTAACAAATGATAATGGTCAAAGATAAAAATATTACTCCAATATGGGAAGAAAAACTACAGAAGAGATATAATTATAAACAATTACTCTGAAATCATGATGGTGGTTTGTGGCTCAGAGGGAACCATGCCTTTCACCAAGGAGATCTGTGAATTTTTTTCTAACAAAATGAGCTTGCCAGCTTTACAGGCTAGGCCAACCCAAACTCCACAGGCTAGGCAAAAAGTGCCCTAATCACTTTCCTGATTCATTCAGAATTCTTGCCGCTGGGTAATGACACAGGAGTGTGTATGAGAGGCACATTCACAGTTGTTTCCTAGCGGTCTTATTGACTTATGGACTACTATGACTACTATATATAAGAAGGAACAGAGGATTACTTCTCCTCCTCCTCCTACAACTACTACATCTAATAATAACAATAATGATAATAATGATGATAATAATAATAGTAATAATAATAATAATAATAATAATAATAATAATAATAATAATAGTAATAATAAT